TAGTTATCAATAAATACAAATAATGTTATTCTACAATATAATTATTTATCTTAAATATAAAATATAATCAATATATTTAAAAATATTTATTTATTTATTTATTTAATATATATTTGATATATTTATTTCAAATTTTAGTTATATATGATAAGTATTTAACAAATAATGCATGTAATTTTTTTTAAAATGACATGTTTACTTTTTTTCATCATTTTGAAATCCATTCCGAATCCATCCGTCCACTAGTGGACTGGCCTGTCAGGCTTTTGGGCCTTTTAGCGAAAGCCTGGAGTTTGAGAGAGGGCCCAGTGGTTTCGGTCGGGACTGACGCAGGAAGAAGGATTGAAGGAAGAGGGTTGTGATTCTGGGTGTGCAGTGTGCAGTGTGCAGTGTGCAGTGTGCGCTGTAGCGAGCTAGTTTGATTCATGTCTGTGTCTCAGGTTGGATACTTGGTTCCGCTGAATCAAAATTTAGAGGAAGAAGCTTCAGTTCCCAAGTTATCTATCTCAGATGGCACAAATGTTATTGGGCGGAACAACATTCGTGTCTCCGACAAGAGGCTTAGCCGCAAACACCTCACTTTAACTCCTTCTCCCAATGGCTCCGTTAATTTGCTCGTCGTATTAACCCTAACACCTTACCTCCCACTCTCTTTTCTTTCTTTAATTCCTTAGTTTTATTTCCTTCCGCTTTGTTAATGTTAGGAGGGGACAAACCCTATCGTCGTTAATTCCGGGAATAAGAGAAGGAAGCTGAACCCTAAAGAAGAAGCTACCATTTGTAATGGTGATATAATCGAGCTCATTCCCGGTCACCATCTTTTTAAATATAAGCTCTTCAACGAAGCTCAATCATCATTCAAAAATAAAGCTTCAGCCAGGACTTCTAAGGCATTCAATTGTTCATGTGCATTAAGCTAATTAATTATGCTCCCATTTTTTGTTTGTTTGTGTAAAATGAATTGTTGTGTATTGTGTGAAATCTGCAGGATAAGGTTGAAACATGCAGCCAGAAACAAGAACGGAAGTATGTGCATTCTCAGTCGAGTGAAGACAATAGTGTGGAGGCTATTCGTAATTTCCGTCTCACTAATGACCAAGTACCTACCACATTTCGGCTTTTGCGCGTGCAAGGGTTACCATCTTGGGCAAATACTTCTTCTGTTTCTATAGCGGATGTTATCCAGGTTCGTTTCTAACAATATGATTATATTATAGATTTTAACGTATTCTGTTCTTGCTGTACTCTCTTGAATGGAGGTTTTGAGCTACAAATCAACTGCTTTTGTGCTTCATGGTAAACTGTTTTTAACCATCGCTTACAATAATTATGCAATGCTTCAAAAGATACCTTTATTGCCGCAACCATTGGCTCCAGAATAATTTTGCACTAACATAAGTTGGCTAGCACAAGTATATTTAACTAGAAAAAATTGTAACTACTTATTGATTTTATTTTAATGCTCATCACTGGTAGGGGGATATTCTAGTTGCTATTCTTTCAAACTACATGGTAGACATTGACTGGTTGGTTCCTGGTGAGTTTTTCTGTCCGGAGTTTCCAACTCCTCTTTGCTTTTTCTTTTCTATTCTTTTCCCTAATTTTCCCTGTTTGATGTCCGACTTTCATTTTTATCCTTGACACTTCTGAGATGCTGTACCAATTTAAAATATTCAGACGTTAATCTCTTTTTTTGTTCTGTTTTGAAGTTGATTGGGGACACTTGTGTTAATTTTTTGTTCTGCTCCTTCACTCCCACTGAAATAGCGCATGATTTGTCTTTCTTATGCTTCCATGATTATTATTTTATCTCACGTGTTATCATAGCAGGAAAGGCAATCTAATCATCTATCTCTAAATTATGCACCGCCATAGGCTGCTGGCATGTCTGGTGTTCTAAAAATTCTGCTTACATGAATACATTTGATTGAAGTTCTTTCACTATTGAGTCTATTCTATTTCTCCCTTTCTATATTTTCTTGGTGTAGCATGTCCTGCACTTTCAAAAGTGCCTCATGTGCTAGTTCTTCATGGAGAAAGTGATGGGAGGGTGGATTACATTAAGGTTTGTCTCAGATCTAATTCATTTGGCTTGTTATTTGTAAGGTTGAATATGTAAGATTGGCTGGATGAATATTAACTTGCTACTTCTATTATTGTTAGAGAAGCAAACCAGCAAACTGGATTCTGCACAAACCACCACTGCCAATTTCATTTGGGACACACCACTCAAAGGCCATGCTGCTTATATATCCTCAAGGGGTGAGAGTCATTGTTCATACAGCAAACTTAATTTATGTAGATTGGAACAATAAAAGCCAAGGTTTGTGGATGCAAGATTTTCCATGGAAAGATCAAAATAGTCTGAGCAAGGGATCTGGATTTGAAAATGACCTGGTTGAATATCTCAGTATGTTGAAGGTAATGATATATACTGTTCTTTTATATGCAGAGAAATGAATACACAATCTCTAGTGTTGATAAATAAAATTAATGCTTCAAATAGTTCTTGAAAGACCCAGTTGAAGTAACCTTTCCCAAATTACCGGACACTTAAGACAGTTGGATTATTCTAGAAAATTCACATGTTAAAAGTTTTCAACTTAGATTACTTTAAAAACTTGTTGCCAATCTGAGTAGTTATATGGCTTGTGAAAGCTAAATAAGATATTGATTTTATTGATTGAGTATTATCATTAGTGTCGCTACTAAAACTATTCATATTATGCACATCATTATTTATTTGGTGGTTCAGTGGCCAGAATTCTCTGTTAAACTTCCATCCCTTGGAAACGTCAGTGTATGTCCATCTTTCTTCAGGAAGTTTGATTATAGTGAGGCAAGGGTATGTTTTCCGTTCATTGTTCTTAAATTATTTCCTTTGTTATTTAAATGTTATGAATTATTATTTATTATGTTTTAAAATATGTTACATTGTCAGATACACTGTACATTAGAATATATAATGCTGTTTGCATTATATTCAGGTTAGATTAATTGCATCTGTACCTGGATATCACTCTGGTGCTAGTTTAAAAAAGTGGGGACATATGAAACTACGTTCTCTGCTCCAGGAGTGTACTTTTGATGAAGAATTTAAGAAATCTCCACTTGTTTATCAGGTACAGTTGGGCTCTTGGCTGGGTTGCATTATACTCCGGGTGCAGTATTCATGTTAATCTTATGATTCCAGTATTAAATGAAAAAACTTAAATGTTCAAGTATCACACTATTTTCTTTCATTTGATTTTCTTCAACTTGTAGTAGTTACCATAATGTATCTATTTTGACCAGAATGTGATAGATTTTATAAAAGTGCAGTAGTTACCATTTAGAATTTTGTTGAATACTTGGTCTATATCTACTGCAGTTCTCCTCCCTTGGCTCTTTAGATGAAAAATGGATGGCTGAGCTAGCATCATCAATGTCAGCAGGTCTCTCTGAAGACAAAACACCCCTTGGTATGGGGGAGCCTCTAATCATATGGCCTACTGTTGAAGATGTCAGATGCTCTTTAGAGGTAACGTATGTAGATGCTGGGGATGTATTTTTTACTTTCCGAGAAAAAAAAAAAAAAAACCTTTGGTTTGCATTTCATGTTCAATTTTAAATGTTATTTTAGAGCTTAATCAAAAATTTATTGATATATCATGTGCCTAGTCTATTTGTATCGAGTCAAGAACCTTTTGAATTTTGTGATGCATGATTAGTAATTCTCTTTAATACTTATGAAAATAAATATGGGTCATCTTCTATCTCTGTTTCACTTAGGAATGAGAATAGGCAATGGGCAGCGTGCCTAATATCCAAACCCAGAGATATGCTGCACCTGTTACCTATAATATATAGAAGCCCTAGATCTTACCTGCTTGATTCCTGATTAGTTAAACCTGGACCCATTTACTCAGTTCCTATTTATGTAAGTGAAAGTCTGCAACTCTAGTTTGGTGTTTATACATGAAAAGTGAGAGACGAGAGCTCAAACACTATAATTATTATAAATTATGCTACAATATAAGATATTTGCAATGCTTTTTAAATAGTAATTATTATACATAAAAAAATCTATTAATATATATATTATAGAGTATGAAGCAGGATGAATAGCATAAAGCCCAGACTCTTGTAGATATTTCCTGAGCTTGTTGGTTCTAGGAATGTTTGTTCTCTTGTACTTTCACCAGAGGCAATCTTTTGGTGTTAACTGATAAATAATACAAGCATTTCTTGGCTATAAAAGTAATTTGTTGGCAAGAGCTTTTGTTTTATGTTGTTTCTTTTTTCATTTAGGCGTGTTTCATAATTGAATTTCTATGTGCAACTTCCTAGTCAACTTTTTTTACCTTATATTTATTTGTTCTGTAGGGCTATGCAGCTGGAAGTGCAATTCCAAGTCCTCTGAAGAATGTGGAGAAAGCATTTTTGAAAAAGTACTGGGCAAAATGGAAAGCAGACCATACAGGTCGCTGGTAAGTATATTTTGTCGTAAATGGTTGCTATACCCCTTTAGCCTGCCAATTATTTTTAAATTTTATCATTTAATTTGTTCACATTCTCTTGGAACTATAATAATTATACTATTTTTTTTTGGCAATCTATTGATTGATTTTGAATCAAGAAATCGATTGCTTTTATGTAGAAGTTTTGCTTTACTGCTTGCGGTATAACCTTTTCTCCTTTCCATGGAAAGTATTACTTAGACACCCCCCTCCCCTCTCTTCCTAACTCCGAAGCTGGAAAGGGTAATCAACAAGTCATGATTCTCTCCTAGTCCTAAAGTAGAAAACTTGGCACTCCTTGGCTAGTTTGAATATGCCTCACAATTTTTTTATTGGACATAAATGCTAATCTGTCTCACCAATTATATTTATGTTTGTGCTGTTTCAGCCGTGCTATGCCACATATAAAGACTTTTGCTCGTTATAATAATCAGAATCTTGCGTAAGAGCTCCAGCAAACCTATTTACATGCACTTCAGCTTTTTATGTTCGTATTCACAAAAAAAAAAAAAAAATCTTTTTATGTTGAAATTTTTGGTCATGTATTGCTCTGCTAAGTAACTGTGGAACCACAGTTATAACTGTGGAAACACATACAATCTTTCTATAGATAATTAACTGTGGAAATACCCTCTTCCCAAATAGTTGGTTCTTGTTAACTTCGTCAAATCTTAGCAAAGCTGCCTGGGGAGCTCTCCAGAAGAATAATACTCAGTTGATGATTCGTTCATATGAGGTATGTCATGTTATCTTAGTGTTGGTGTTTCTTATCTGACAGCTCAGACCCAAGAATTGGTGTGAGCTTCATTATTTTCAAACCTTACCTAATGACGCCAAGAAGAGTGTTTTCTCTGATTATTGTTTTGTTTATTATACTTGGGACATTTGCTGTCAAATAAATTTTATCCTGTTCACCAGAGGTTGCGCTAGAAAATATTAATACACATTTTTCTTTCAGCTGGGGGTGCTATTTCTACCATCATCATTCAAACGACATGGATCTGTATTTTCCTGTACCAGTAATGTTGCACAGTCTGAGGTTAGCCGACATATCCTTGCTCTTTGATGATGTTTTATGCTTGACATGATTGAACTTCAAATTGTGAGGGAGAAGGAAGGACCTTACTTTCAGCTCCCTAACCATGGAAATGAGAAAGAGACAAATACTAATAAACTAAGAATTGCAGGATAAAATCCCAGCCAGAGAAACATCTGAAATGAAGAAAACAAAACTGGTAACCCTAACTGGGCTAAGGGGAAGAATGCATTCATCATCTGAAGTTATTATCCAATTACCTTTGCCTTACGAGCTCCCTCCAATGCCTTATTCTTCCCAAGGTCGTGCCTTGTCACTCAGCTGTTTCTGGTATGTCTAAAGTGGCCCGAGCTTGTTACATGTCTTCTAATTATGGTTTCCCTCTGCAGATACCCCCTGGTCTTGGGACCGGCAATATAACAAGAAAGATGTATATGGTAATGTTTGGCCGCGGATGTAAGCGCATCAAGATTATTGACATTCTTACTGTACATATCAATTGGACTCCTCTCCTTTGTGAATAATGGCACCATTCTTATTGCAACCGAGTTTTCTTCATGAATATTTAAGTCTTACATGAGGCGAAGGTGTCTCATTTTTATTCCTTGTCAGAAATCATGGTAAACTTTTGATTTGGAGTAAAATGCACCAAAAATTGAAATGTTACTTCTTTTGATTCTAGAGGATTTCGTTTGTTTCATATTGTTTTTCATTCAAAAGTATCGAATCTTTGATAGATTCCAACCTTGTTCCCTGATGCATTGCATGAAGTTTATAAATAATATAAGAACCAATAATCAGAAATTATTTTTATGTAATTTTAAAATAGTTACTATAAGAACCAACAAAATTTATCATACAATATTTTTTATTACAGAATAATATAAAAAAAATATTTATATCGTCACATACATGATATTTCATTGAATATTTTAGACAATAATGTAAAAATAATTTATTGTCATTAGATAATGTAAAAGGTTATTTATTTACAGTCATCAGTTGTAATAGATAATAATGTAACATGTTATTTAGTCAGATGATATTTCATGCATCAAAGAGTCTACAGCTTATAATTGTTTTTAATATTACTTTTTTCTCGAGAACTATTTTCAAATTATTCCCAAAATTTTCAACATTTTTTCTCTTTTCATCTTCCCAAAACTCATTCTTAAGCTTAGTGCACAGATGTACCAGACTTGAAAACCAGATATTTACTTGGATGCAAAATTTATTTATATATTTTAATAACAGAAGATCATGCCTAGCTGTAGAACTGATAGCTTGAAACAAGCAACAGGAACAGGAGGATGGATTATTCTTGAAGCAAACCCGCGCTTTAGATTTCCGTGGAAGTTTTATTTTCTTCGGCCGGGGTCTATGATATCTCATAATACTAAGTTACTTCGTGCTTGCTTATTGCTTATATTCGCCTTTCACCTCTAACACCATCCCAAAAACATCGCTAATACATAGACATCGCTGTAAATCGCAATAGATGAAGAACCAAATGGCAAGTATTATATTTCAAAGCACATTCAATTGATATTAAAATGGAAGGCATTCATGGATATAAAGTATTTCACAAGAATATAAAGAAGCAAATTTATTCTAATGGATATAAAGTTGTTCACAAGACTATAAAGAAGCAAATTTATTCCAAGGGCCGACTGAAACCAATACGGCCCAAGTTCTGAAATTTAAAGACACCATCACAGAAAGAGCGAACACTTAAAAGCCACCACGGAGACGCAGGACAAGGTGAAGGGTGGACTCCTTCTGAATATTGTAGTCAGCAAGGGTCCTCCCGTCTTCCAACTGCTTCCCTGCAAAGATCAGCCTCTGCTGGTCCGGAGGAATTCCCTCCTTGTCCTGAATCTTGCCCTTCACATTGTCAATGGTGTCTGAACTCTCCACCTCAAGGGTGATGGTCTTCCCCGTCTAGGTCTTGACAAAAATCTGCATGCCACCCCTGAGACGCAGAACAAGGTGAAGGGTTGACTCCTTCTGGATGTTGTAGTCAGCGAGGGTGCGTCCATCCTCAAGCTGTTTTCCAGCAAAAATCAACCTTTGCTGGTCTGGGGGGATCCCCTCCTTGTCCTGAATCTTGGACTTTACGTTGTCGATGGTGTCGGAGCTTTCCACCTCAAGGGTGATGGTCTTTCCGGTGAGGGTTTTGACGAATATCTGCATGCCACCACGGAGACGGAGGACCAGGTGGAGGGTCGACTCCTTCTGGATGTTGTAGTCGGCGAGGGTCCGCCCATCCTCGAGCTGCTTCCCGGCGAAGATCAGACGTTGCTGGTCTGGTGGGATCCCTTCCTTGTCCTGAATCTTGGCCTTCACATTGTCGATGGTGTCCGAACTCTCCACCTCCAGAGTTATGGTCTTACCGGTCAGAGTCTTAACGAAGATTTGCATCTACACCAACAGCAGATAAATCAAAATCAATATCAAACCAACACACACACACACACACACACAAGAATCTTTATTAGAATATTTCACAATTTTAGGCTTTAATGAAACTCGAGAGCAAAATTGAAAATTCGAAGGCTGAAATTTCAAGAACGTGGGGAAAATTTCATTATCGCTTTTAAAAAGCAGGTGTGAACAACATAATGAAGAGCGATACGATTGATGCTCGCAGAATGATGATCAGTTAGGTAAAAATTGAAAACCTAAATAGAATGAATTTGAGAGAGGTTTGAAATATTAACAAATTGGAGAACAAAAATTGAAAAGATGAGGAGGCATACCTTGAAAGGTTTGAAAGAATGAGAATGAAAATAAGTGAAATTGGGAATGGAGGAAAGAAGGGTATGGTATGGTCCATTTTATAGGAGATGGCGAGATAACCGACTTAGACCTCTTCGCCAACCACGTTCCGAAGCTGACGTCGAAATTTAGAATCCGTTGGTTAGGTGAGCGGTTCCGTAACGGAGTCAATGTACCTAGACGCTCTTGACTCTTTCCACTTTCTTCGTCCACGTCAGCTTTCTTTAATAACTTAGGCATTTGTTTCAACTTTTTTAAAATAGCAAAAACATTGAAAAACTCTAAAATCTATAATTTGATTAAATTGAATAATTTTTTTAAAATAAAAGGTATCTGTTTGTTATTATTACTAGTGAAATAAAAAGACATACATTATCATTTTTTTCTCTACATCGTTTTTATTTTTTAGGCAAGTCATTCAATTTACTTTTTTAAATAATTTTTTGAAGAAAAAAATTACTTTATTTTACCTTTCTTAGACGAGTTTAATGTGATTAATTTGGTGCAAGAGTTTGAAATAGAGCAGTGAATTTTTAAAGAGCATTTAAAGGGTAAAAACATGGAGATCCGATCGTCAGGTTATAATTTTGTTTTGTTTTTTTCTTTGTCAGTACTTTACCAAAAAAAAAAGGTAAAAACACCTAAAAAAAATATGTACACGAAATAAAAATACCTTTTATTTTTGTTACAATTATATAAACATTTAAAGGAAAAAATATCAAACAAAATATGTTAGTTCCTTTTATTTTATTTGAAAAGAAGTTATAAAAAAGCATATAATTTATAGAGTGTGTACGAACTACAACGCTATATATATATATATATATATATATAGAGAGAGAGAGAGAGAGAGAACATCTTTGGGTGTATTAGTTGAGCCCACGCAAGTCGCTTTACACAGGTTGGCCATGGCAATTGTCAAGTGGGCTTCTATCTTTCAAAAATACTAATATATTAAAAAAAAAAAAAAAAAAAAGAGTTAACTGGGCTTTCAAATGTTTTATCATTGTCCGCTTCACTTTCCATTAAACCATAGCTGAGAATCTGAGAATATAGCTTCACTTTCAACATCTTACATTCATCCCGTAGCTATTTATAAAATATATTTTATTTAATTTACATTTATCTAAGAATATTTTTAGAATAGCATTTGTCTCTGCAGAAAATAAATTAAAATTCAATGTTTTCGATGGTCATATGTATACTCTAAACTTTAAAGTCTAAATACTTCCAAAACAGAAAGATGGGCTAATGCATACGAATACGAACTGCACATTCAAGAAACTTACGTGGCAGTATATACATATATATATATATATATATATATATATATTATTCCCAGGGTCTCAATGAACACTCCTCTGGAAGGGTTGGATAACGTTGGTAAGATGGATTGAGCACGTAAGGACATAATAAAAAAAGTTATTGATTTGCCACTTTACCAGATATGGCCATCTTTGGATGCCTGGAGTAAATCTTGAATCCTAAATTTATATATAAAAGTGATTTTATGTTCTTGTGTACATTATTTTTAGATTTTTTTATTTTTTATTTCTTAAATAATAAAAATAATATTAAAGATTAATTATTATTTTAAATTCAAGACTCAAATTTTAAATCTTAAAATTTGAAGATTAAGTACTATATCAATTAATTTAATAAATATTAATAATTTTTAAATATATTTAACTGATTCATAAAAAAATGGGTTGGGTTGGGTTGGGCCAACTCATCATTTAAAAATGGCAGATGATAAACACACCTCCACTTTCATATAAGTACACCCCCTTTTTAAAAAAATATATATATAATGTCTAAATTACCCCCAAACCCGCATCCCCGTTTCCCTTTCCCGCACCTCCTTCCCCGCACCCTCCTTCCGGTGCCGCAATCTTCCTCTCGCGCTTCAAATTCGCCTCGCCGCTTCCGACTTCCCCCTTGTGCAACTTCCGAGCAAAAACATTCCCTTTTCTCTTCCTGGAGCACCACAGAAATACAAAAACAAGGAATCCCGCGAGAGCGAAGACACCAGCAGCGACAACAACCGAAAGCAGCGTCGTTTGGCGGTGTTTGACAGAATGCGGAGAGGGTTGAAGTTGAAGAGAAAGATTGTTGCCTAAAAATGCGGCCTTTGGGAACCTCTGGAGAGAGAGTGGGATTTCCCCGGAGAGCGAGTTGTTGGCGAGGTTGACGGCGGCGAGGCGGGGCAAGGTGGAGAGCGACGGAGGAATGTGGCCGGAGAATCGGTTATTGGAGAGGTCAAGGACGGAGAGGTTTGTCCAGGGGGAGAAATCCGGTAAGGGGCCGGTGAAGTTGTTGAAGTGGAGATAGAGAAAGGTGAGGTTTTTGAGATTGGAGAAATCGGAAGGGAAATGAGCGGTGATGAAGTTGGATCTGAGACTCAACGTTTGGAGGCACGTGAGGCGGCTTATGGTGTTGGGAGGGATGGGTCCGTGGAATCCGAAGGCTGGTAGGTGAATGGCTATGACACGTGAGCTTTGTCGGTCACAGGTTACGCCTGTCCAAGAGGTGCATGGGGAAGAGGTTCCGTTCCAATTGAGAGGCCTTGAAGGTGGTAGCTTTTGCACGAATTCAAGCAATGCTGCCTTGTCTTCTTCTTCTGCTGCCTTTGCTTGGGAGAGTATGAGAATGGAGATGATGAACCACAACATGAGTTCCATGTTCTTCAAACTTTAATCAACCCAACTAAGTCATACTACTAATATGAATTCATATGAGACACTGTCGCTTACTTTTTGTTTTTTGTTCCAGATCTGCCCTCTCATGCTCAAAAGTCATCCCTTAGCGGCATCCAGAGAGAAAACGTACGTGCAAGTTATGATTCGTCACAAATAATGGTGATTGGTAAAAGCTGCAGCATCCAATGCACTGCACAAATAATGGAGGTGAGGTGGATCAAATTTTTTCACTGTTTCTAATAGCTGTAACTCAATCTCATTAATGCTGTCTTTAAATGATGAAAGATGTTAAGAATAAAGAAGTAATTAGTGAAGGTAATGGGTGAGAATCTTAGGTTCAAAAACATGAAATGATTAAAACTTATGTTTACAATACTATGTTCATATATTTTATTTTACACCATCATGTTAAATAACTATGAATTATGACTTAGACGGGAATGATTGATTTTTTTTTCTATAATTTAGTATTAAAATTTCAACATAATTTTAACAACTATTTAATTTTTTTTTTAATTAGATCTATTTGGATAGAAATTTTTATAAGTATGTATAAGAAAAAAAAAGTTTCATTAAGTTGAAACTAGTTTATGAATATTTTTTTATACAACTTATAAATAAGTTAAAAATAAGATTTTTTTTGAAAAATTAATATCAATTTTTTTTACAAAATAGTTTATGCATAAATTACTTTTAGTTTGTGAAAAAATATTTTATCTTTTTTTTCTCTTACAAAAGTGTATATTAAAAAAAATTACTTTGTTGATGTTACACAAGCATATACATGGATGAGGATTAAAGTCATTATATGCATAGTATATTTTTAAATAATTTAGACAAAATTATTAAAAATATAAAAAATATATATATATTTCATTAAATATGTATGTGTATATATATAACAAACTATATGTAATTGATTGTCCCAGTTTTATGGGTCATTTCTTCGCTATTTAAAAAAAAAATCAAATGAATTTTTAGCTTTTTACGCATTTCGTTACAGTTTTTGAGTTTTATATTTCATTTAGACTTATTTTTTGAAAACGGCCAAAGATGAATTAATTTGTGTTAGGGGTACCAGTACCACTAACCCAATGTACAAAAGGTTGTTCCTGGTTAGTTATAACTTTATACCAATCAAAAAAGGATTTCATTTAGACTTATAAAAAATAACTAATTTTATACCGATTAAAAAACTCATTAAATACATTTAATTTTTTATATTTTTACATAAAATATATACTATATTTTTTAAAATATTCTTAATCACATTCATAATAAATAGTATTTTCATTTACTATTATAATAATATTTTTGGATCAAGAACATTAAATAAAGTTAACTTGATTGAAATTTATTATATTTCAACTCAAAAATTTTAAATAGTTTTTGCTTATATATAGGGCTAGTGTAGTAATGTTTCTATAATGTTTAGTTGCTTAACGATATTTAGGGATAGGGTTAGTTCAAGTTTAAGTAAAAATAAGAATGTTAAAATAGGTTAGTTTAATTTGTTTTGGCCTGATTCATAAAAAAATGGGTTGGGTTGGGTTGGGCCAACTCATCATTTAAAAATGGCAGATGATAAACACACCTCCACTTTCATATAAGTACACCCCCTTTTTAAAAAAATATATATATAATGTCTAAATTACCCCCAAACCCGCATCCCCGTTTCCCTTTCCCGCACCTCCTTCCCCGCACCCTCCTTCCGGTGCCGCAATCTTCCTCTCGCGCTTCAAATTCGCCTCGCCGCTTCCGACTGTTCGCCGCTCCCACGCCCTTCAACCGCTTCGTGCTGCTGCGCTACCCTTCCATATCGCTCGCCGCCCCCGAGAGGCTCGTTTTGGAGGAGCGCCACTACATGAGCGTCAACCGCGGGAGGATTCACGTGAAAGGCGGAGAGGGAGAGAGGGAGAGGGACTCGGAGGTGAGGTATCAGAGAGTCTGCGTGAGTGCGAAGGATGGAGGCGTGGTTTCGTTGGATTGGCCTGCGAACTTGGACTTGGAAGAGGAGCGTGGCTTGGACTCCACGTTGTTGCTTGTTCACGAAGTAGTTGAAGGGCGTGGGACCGGCGAAGAGGATCCACTCGTCGACATCGGAGGCGGCAGAGGCGTATTTGAAGCGCGAGAGGAAGATTGCGGCGCCAGAAGGAGGGTGCGGGGAAGGGAAACGGGGGTGCGGGGAAGGGAAACGGGGGTGCGGGTTTGGGGTAATTTAGATATTTTATATATATTTTTTAAAAAAGGAGGTGTGTTTATACGAGAGTGGAGGTGTGTTTATCATCTGTCTAATAGGTTTATCCAAATCCGGTCCAACCCAACCCGCTTACACCCCTATTTATTCCTCCATTTCTTTTTTATTTACCAAATAGTGTGTTGGAGAATGAAACATGCCGTGAAGTAAAAAAGAGAGAATTTAAATAAAAAAGTAATGAGAGAGAAAGAGTGAATTAGGGGTGGTTATAGAAATAAAATGGTTAAAAAAATTATTTACACCAAAAAAAATTATCTCCTTTATTATTAACTAGTAGGATTGAGGTACTTCGTGCCTCTATTAAAAATAAAAAAACAAAAATAGTCTAATTGGTGTTATGATTAGTCTATTAATTTAAAGTTCTTAAATTTGATAAAAAAATATATTATTTTTTATAATATTTTTAAAATAGAAGGATACAATGATCAACAAAATATGGGGATCAAGATAGTTACTAAGAAGGGTATCCCCTTTATATATTAGTATAGATTAGTAAAAAAAATAGACACCCTGTCTCTTAATTTTTTTTAAAATTAAAGATAAAATAAAAACATAATAAAATAAAATGTTTGTGAATGATTATTGCAAAAGAATTTAAGAAATTGTTTTTCTCCTCACTTGAGAAGTATATTGATCTACTAAAAAGTGGAGATAAAAAATAGTAACATTTTAGTATCTCTTTATAATAAATATAGATTTATTATTAATAGCAAAAATATACATAAATTAATAAAAAATATTTATTATTATTATAGAAGTTATATATGTGAATATTTAAGTGTATGTGTAGTTTCAAGGATAAAAAAAAAGAAAAATGTGAATAACAAATAGAATTATTCCTTATTATTAGTATATATACACAAACTCATCATATAAATGCAAATGATTAAAAAATTGTAAAGACGAACATGGAGGTTAATAAGTAGTAGCCGCTTTTATTATTATGTGACGGTTTGAATTATTTTTTTATTTCTTGGTGAATTGACGGTTACAATTCTTGAACTTACGTTTGGAAACTCCTCAGCTTAGTCTGCATGTCCTGAACAAAGTACAAGACTCCTTCATTCTCTTCTACAAAACGTTTGCTACCTTCTTCAACTTCTCCAGGTACCCTTCATTTCTTTCTCATCTCATCGATTTAACTATCTTAAAAAAAAAAAAAAAAAAAAAGAGTTAACTGGGCTTTCAAATGTTTTATCATTGTCCGCTTCACTTTCCATTAAACCATAGCTGAGAATCTGAGAATATAGCTTCACTTTCAACATCTTACATTCATCCCGTAGCTATTTATAAAATATATTTTATTTAATTTACATTTATCTAAGAATATTTTTAGAATAGCATTTGTCTCTGCAGAAAATAAATTAAAATTCAATGTTTTCGATGGTCATATGTATACTCTAAACTTTAAAGTCTAAATACTTCCAAAACAGAAAGATGGGCTAATGCATACGAATACGAACTGCACATTCAAGAAACTTACGTGGCAGTATATACATATATATATATATATATATATATATATATTATTCCCAGGGTCTCAATGAACACTCCTCTGGAAGGGTTGGATAACGTTGGTAAGATGGATTGAGCACGTAAGGACATAATAAAAAAAGTTATTGATTTGCCACTTTACCAGATATGGCCATCTTTGGATGCCTGGAGTAAATCTTGAATCCTAAATTTATATATAAAAGTGATTTTATGTTCTTGTGTACATTATTTTTAGATTTTTTTATTTTTTATTTCTTAAATAATAAAAATAATATTAAAGATTAATTATTATTTTAAATTCAAGACTCAAATTTTAAATCTTAAAATTTGAAGATTAAGTACTATATCAATTAATTTAATAAATATTAATAATTTTTAAATATATTTAAATAAATATAAAAACACAAAATATCACAACTCCCCTAATATAAATAAAAAGAAGAATGACATAATCCATTTTAAGCACAAAGAGGATGGAGAATGGTGTGCATAAAAAGAAGAACCACATGATTCATTTTGAGCACAAAGAGAATGGAGATGGTATGTGAAAATCAGATGCCCTTTCACATACAACTAAAAGATAGTATTTCTAAATCTAAATATGCACCAATATTTAAAAGTTGAATACATGAGAAACCTAAGCAACAATCTTAAAATAAGGGCAATTTAGGCAACCAAGAAATACAAGATATTTAAATTTAGCCATTGTTTAACAAATTGCTTTGGCAATGATAATCAAAAAATCTATGAACGCTATATGCCTATATGCTACTTTTTATACGATGGTTAAGCAGTGAGAAACAAGGCTTGTTTTTGTTTTATTACCAATGAAGAAGATTATGAATAAATTAATAGAAAGACTAAGATACCAATACCACTTAGCCCAACAAAAATGGATAAGATGGAATCAATGTTTTTGCTCAATTGACGAGACGATGCATTTACTTGCTTGGGTTTAGCTACCCCTTTAAATAATAAAACACAGGCACATGAACACGGTGTTTATGCCTCAGGCTAACCGTAAATCCGACCCAATTCAAATACATGTGTTCCGATTTTAGTATAGTTTTTTAATTTACCCGATGTTTGAAAGAGATGAAAATGAAAGGAAAGAAAAAAAAAAATAAAGAAATGAAATATAGAAAACGATGCATTTTCTTTTGTTTGATTGGAGAGAAAGTAGAAGGGAAAAAAATTGACTTGCATAAACAAAAATTTTAAATTTCATTTTTCTTACATTTTTTCTTCAATTTAAAATTCATTTTTTTTTCTTTTCTCTCATAATTCATCTACCCAACCAAACATAGAGTAAACTTAATGAGTGGACCAATAAGATTTAACTCAATTATTTGATTAACGTGGGTAGGTATTATAAGTTTTTTTGTTGTTAAATTCGATTTTTATATAGATAAAAAACTTAATGAATAATTTCAGATAATTACCTTTGATTTTTAAATTCATAAATTGGATGGCCTAACCTACTTACGTGTCACTTTTTTTAATTACTAATCATATATATATATATATATATATATATATATATATATATACATTTTACTCACAACTCACATATGATCAAGATATCCACCAAACTTAAGAACTTAGGTTTGAAATCCTATTTTAAACAATTTTTTTTTGTGAATTTGTAAACCACACATTTCCTCACCACTCACCGCATCAGAATCCGACGGCCATGTATACCAGTCTTTCGGATCTAGAATAAAGGGCCAAAAATAAAATTAAATCTTTAAATTTATAAAATTATATTTTCAAATTTACATTAAGAAGATAAAGTATAGACATTTCCATGCTATTAAAAATTATTTGATATTTTATTAATGAAATTATTATTTAATAAATAAGTATTTTTTTTTACTAATAATGATACATTTATTACTTGAAATAAATTTTATTTTATTTTTTGTTAATACCTCTTATTAAAATCATGTATATATCAAAATTATAAACAAATACAAATATATTTATAAAGCAAATATTTTTTAAAAGCACATTTATATAAATCAGAATGATACAAGATATATGTGTTTTAAATATATATATATATATATATATATATATATATATATATAATTATTAATTTATATATATATAATAAACTAAATACATTGGAAACTATGAATTATAACACTAGTTTAGATAATTGTAATGTCTAGTTCATGAGCCGGCGCGGCCCTTTATTAAATTTTTTTTTTCCTACTTGACAGTAAAGAAAGGAGAATGAACAAGTGGACTAATTAAGGTGCAATTAAATATAGCCATGGGCAATAATGTCTTCTACTTTCTTTTAATTATTTAAAACCATTGGCACTAATTATGACTTGTGCAAATATTGAAAAACAAAATACATACATGTGACTCAACTTGCCATACTTTTCTTTTAAAAAGTATTAATTGTAAGGTGGAAAGTGCTACTTCACATGCCAGGATCTTATTACAAGTTATAAAATTACAATGGAGTGGTAGTTTTTACATAAATTTTAAAAATTATCCATATAAAAAGTTGCTAGTATCATTTGATTAGTGGAACATCAATCAATTTACTTGAATCTCGGGATGCGTCTCCTCTACCTATCTATTATAGAATGGAGTATTTGTTAATAAAGAATGTGTTGTGGAATCCAGCAAGTAGTAAGAGAAAGAAAATGGTGTCATTATAGACGCTACAAGCCTACAATCTTCAAAATCTGACTTGACTTAGTTTATGTACTTAAAATTGACAAACTTAAAAAATTTATCTTATCCCTTCTTTAGGTTAGGTCTTTGAATCTTCCTTTTTAGTTAAAAATTGAAATAGTATCCAGGACATGATACCATGGAAAACTTAAAACACCACAATCTTTAAATATATCTCATGCGACTTTGAAGAATTTCTTGGCCTATATAGGGACAAGTAAGCAAACACGTACGGATAACCAAGAGTAGTGGTAACACCGAGAATTATGGCTATCCAAGAATCACTGTTAAACAAGCCTAGAAATTCTGTTTCCAAAATCATCTGGTTAATCCTTTCTGTAGCTGTAGTTCTAAGTTCATCAGCTTTTATTGCTTCTTATCTCATCAAACCCTCCTTCTTCTTCAGCCATTCCTCCCTTCACCATGTTTGTGATCATGCACTTGATACCACATCCTGCTTAGCCCATGTCTCAGAATTATCTCATCAAGCTCCCATCTTGACTACGACAAAAGACCACCCATTCATTTTGCTCCAGTCCTTCCTAATGAAATACACTTCACATATTGAGAAATCCATGAACACAATCAATGCTATCAAACTCAGGATCAACAACCCGAGAGAGGAAGCAGCTTTGAGAGACTGCGTGGAACTTATGGACTTGTCGATGGATAGAGTTTGGGACTCGATGTTGGCTCTAACAAAACAAACGGCTGAGTCGCAACAAGATGCACAGACGTGGCTAAGCAGTGTGCTGACTAATCATGCAACGTGCTTGGATGGATTAGAGGGGACAGCACGGGGTGTGATGGAAGGTGAACTTAGGGACTTGATATCAAGAGCGAGAACCTCTCTAGCCATGTTTGTTGATGTTTTGGGTCAAAAAGTTGAAAAAATGATTGAGGAGGCATTAAAAGAAGAAGAGTTTCCCTCATGGGTTAGTAGCAGGGATAGGAGACTGTTGGAATCCAAGGCTGGGGACATAAAGGCTAATGTTGTGGTGGCTCAAGATGGGAGTGGCAAGTTCAAGACAGTGGCTGAGGCAGTGGCATCAGCACCTGATAAGGGTAAGACAAGGTATGTTATTTATGTGAAAAAGGGAACATATAAAGAAAAGGTTGAAATTGGGAAGAAGAAGACGAACGTGATGCTCGTAGGTGACGGCATGGATGCGACTATAATCACTGGGAGCTTGAATTTCATTGATGGAACAAGCACCTTCAACAGTGCCACAGTGGGTATGGCCTATGGCCTAAGTCTCTATATTTTTGTTGTTTAATTCTTTCTCTTTGTATGGCAGTTACATAAGTATATTTGTATCCCTTTGCAGCTGCTGTGGGCGATGGGTTTATTGGGCAAGACATATGGTTCCAAAACACAGCAGGCCCAGAAAAACACCAAGCAGTGGCTCTTCGAGTGGGTGCAGACCAATCCGTGATAAACCGATGTCGTATTGACGCCTTTCAAGACACTCTCTACGCCCACTCCAATAGGCAATTCTACAGAGACTCCTTCATCACGGGAACCGTTGACTTCATATTCGGAAACGCTGCCGTTGTGTTTCAAAAGTGCAACCTGGTGGCCCGAAAGCCCTTGAGTAACCAGAACAACATGGTGACGGCCCAAGGACGAGAGGATCCAAACCAAAACACCGCAACTTCAATTCAACAATGTACCCTAACAGCCAGCTCGGATCTTAAGCCTCTTGTGGGCTCCATCAAAACTTTTCTGGGCCGTCCATGGAAGAAGTACTCTAGAACCGTTGTGATGCAATCCACGTTGGACAGCCACATTGACCCAAGTGGATGGGCTGAGTGGGATGCCCAGAGTAAGGACTTTTTGCAAACATTGTATTATGGAGAGTACATGAATAGTGGGCCAGGAGCTGGTACCAGTAAGAGAGTCAGTTGGCCTGGTTTCCATGTCATTCAATCTGCAGCAGAGGCTACCAAGTTTACAGTAACACAACTCATCCAAGGTAATGTTTGGTTGAAGAACACCGGAGTTAACTTCATTGAAGGCCTCTAAATATAATAATATGTCTGCTTCTATCTCATTTCCTTGCCTTTTGCGGGAAATCAAATATAAACCTTTCATGCACCAACTTCTTTAGCCTTCTAGAATGTAAGGCCCATGTAACGTATCATATATATGTCAAATAAACTTGTTTGTGACTTCCGTGGCGCTTCTTAACTTGTTTTCCTCAAATATTATACTCCATTCATTCTATAACTTGTATAATAAGTTCTTTAATAAAAAGGATTTACTTTCTATATATTATTATTTCGGATATAAATGAAAATATATAATTAATATTATGTACTTGAGCTAACATTTTATTTTTGAACAATTTTTTTCTTTTATAATTGCTGGGAGATGGATAATAAGTAAATTAATGCAGTTTGATTCTCAATGTTTGTGCATGTTTCTCCAAGTTTGGATATTTAATATTTGGAGTTGCACTATTCACAACTAAACTAGACTTTCATTTGGTACCTATGGTGTAGAAATAAAAATGAAAACAGTATATTAAAAAAGTATAAAGCGTAAGAAAAAAAAAATTGTGTTATTTGGTATGAAATGAATCTTATTTGTCTTCCACACACTAAACCAGACTCACATAACATCAGTAGTTGATTTGAACCAAAAGCTATTAGATATAGCCAAATTAAATAGATTTAATTGTACTTATCGAAGAATTCAATTGCTCGCATTAATTGTATTTATTAAATATTAATGTAGAACTTAATATTGAGTTAAGCCCGATGATTTTTACATGGATCTTTTGAATTACTTTAATGTAAATGGATGGTAATAGTATTGTTTGACCCATCAACAACTAAGATTTATTTTTATATTTTAGTGCAGGAGTATTATTATTATTATTACAATTATATATATATATATATATATTGTTATATGGTTTAACAGCTGATAAACTTTTATGTGTATATATCTTATGATATATATATTTAGATATTATGAGTATGAGGATTTTAAGTAGTTGTATTTATATTTTTCTATTGTTAGTTGATTTAAGTCATTATATATTATCTAACTTGCCAACCAATTGATTTGTTGGTCTTTGTTTTTTAATGTTAAGTTTAAATAAGTCAGATGAAATTTATTATGTAAGTAATTGTTATTTGTTGTGTAGTAAATATATTATGCATTTTATTATATGTGGTTTTTTTTTTAACAAATGGAAGAGTTATTATTATTATTATTATTATTATTATTATTATTATTATTATACGTCTATTTTATTATGTAGTAAAGTTGAGATTTATTTTTTATTTATTATTTTTGCCCATATTTCAGCAAATTAAGTGACAAATTACAATTAAAAACTTTTATGAAAAGTGATCACATTTAATGTTAGTATCACAAATAACATCGTTTTCTAAAACAATTTTATGAAAATGAAAATAAAAATATTATATCTTAATTCAAATAATTTATTATTTATTTTCATCTAATGAAAAAAAATATTTCTTATTTACAGTGAAGACCTTTTTGTCATACTTATTTTCTTAAAATATATAATTTTATTATTGTTTATAATGATATTAATATTTTATTTCTTTTATACTGTTATTTTAAATTTTTACCAAAATTAAAAAATATAAATGTAATACATAAAAAGTTCGTTTCCTCTATTACCCATATATTATTGAACAGAGTATTTGTTAATAAAGAATGTAAGGTGGAATCCAGTAAGTAAAAAAAGAAAGATAATCGTGACATTATATTATAGACACTACAGGCCTATCACATGATGGATGCTTCAGTGAAAAACGTGATATTTAGTGATTATTTATATAATCTCAAGCGCCTTTGAAGAAGATTTTGGTCTATATAAGGATAACGAAGCAATCGCATATCAGCAAGAGCAGCCACTAACAGAAATATGGCTAACCATCAATCTCTGTTAGACAAGCCTAAAAAATCTCTTTCCAAAACCATCTGTTTAATCCTTTCCATAGCTACTGTCATAAGCTTATCCTTTGTCGGTTCTTATCTCATCAAACCTACCTCCTTCTTCAATCAATCCTCCCTTCATCATGTCTGTGAACATGCACTTGATACAAAATCATGCTTTGCACATGTCTCACAAGTAGCACAAGGTCAAGTTATGACTGCTACAAAAGATCACAAATTCCAATTATTGCAGACCTTTCTAATGAAATCCACCTCACACATTCAGAGAGCTATGGACATGGCCGATTCTATCAAACAAAGAATCAACAGTCCTAGGGAGGAAGCAGCTCTGCGAGAGTGTGCAGAGCTGATGGACTTGTCCATTAATAGAGTTTGGGATTCAATGGTTGCTCTAGCCAAACAAACCATTGAGTCGCAACAAGATGCACACACATGGCTAAGTAGTGTGCTCACTAACCATGCAACTTGCTTGGATGGATTAGAAGGGTCAGCTAAGGCCCTTATGGAAGCTGAACTTGAGGACTTGATATCTAGATCAAGAACCTCTTTGGCCTTGCTTGTTGCTGTCTTGCCTCCAAAACATGAACAAATAATTCACGAGCCACTAAACGGAGACTTTCCCTCGTGGGTGACCGGCAAGGATCGGAGGTTGTTGGAGTCTTCGGTTAAGGATATCAAAGCCAATGTTGTGGTGGCTAAGGATGGAAGTGGCAGGTTTAAGACAGTGGCTGAGGCTGTGGCATCCGCACCCGACAATGGTAAAACGAGGTATGTTATTTATGTGAAAAAGGGAACATATAAAGAGAATGTTGAAATTGGTAGTAAGAAGAAGAACGTGATGCTGGTGGGGGATGGTAAGGATGCAACAGTAATTACCGGAAGCTTGAATTTCATAGATGGAACAAGCACATTCAAGACTGCCACCGTTGGTATGGATCTTGTCTCATTTCGTGTCTGTATGTCCTATATTTCTGTCTGCTAGAATGTTTTTACCGTACTCCTTACTAAAACTTTTTATACATCATTTTAAATTATATTTATAAAAAAAAAATACAACAATTCATGGATAAGAACAAAACACAGGAACATGGATTGCAATAATTAACATCATCAAAATAGATAAAATAAAAAGAAAAGAAAAGGAAATGTCGTATAAATTATTATATCTTTCTTATCTTTAATTAATGGCTTGAATGATGCCAAATGGTCTACAGCTATTGTATAGAGATCCGCATTTATATTTTAAAATCTGTACTTTGATCCTTAAAATAAAGACACAGCAAAGACTAATTATGAGGAGGGTTGGTGAGAGCTAGCTAGAGAATCTTACACGCAATGTATTAGTATTCTAGTAAGAAGGAAAACGATCACATATTCACATTCAAGTATTTCTCGTGTGGGCAGAAAAGAAAAGTAAAATATGTGTACATGTACAGTTCATTCTTTATGTCTAGAGGGTCTTATAAGATAGCAATGCTTAAAACTTAAAAGAGTCGATTGGTTGTGTAACGTGTAAAACTAAGTAATAGATCTTAAAATTTTCAACACCAAGCCAACGATGCACTTATACTCTAATATGGCTTTTCAGCTGCTGTGGGAGATGGATTTATAGCCCAAGACATATGGTTCCAAAACGCAGCAGGTCCTGAGAAGCATCAAGCAGTGGCTCTTCGTGTAGGCGCTGACCAATCTGTCATAAATCGTTGCCGCATTGATGCATATCAAGACACACTCTACGCTCACTCCAACAGACAATTCTACAGAGACTCCTTCATCACAGGTACAATTGACTTCATCTTTGGAAACGCAGCTGTTGTGTTCCAAAAATGCAACTTGGTGGCCAGAAAGCCCATGAGTAACCAGAAAAACATGGTGACGGCCCAAGGACGAGAGGATCCAAACCAAAACACAGGAACTTCAATTCAACAATGTACCCTAACACCAAGCTCGGATCTTAAGCCTGTTGTGGGCTCCTTCAAAACTTATTTGGGCCGTCCGTGGAAGAAGTACTCCAGAACCGTTGTTATGCAATCGACCTTGGACAGTCACATTGACCCAGCAGGATGGGCAGAATGGGATGCACAAAGTAAGGACTTTTTGCAAACATTGTATTATGGAGAATACATGAATAGTGGAGCAGGTGGTGGTACAAGCAAGAGAGTGAATTGGCCTGGTTACCATATCATCAAAACTGCAGCAGAAGCAAGCAAATTCACTGTGACACAACTCATCCAAGGCAATGTTTGGTTGAAGAACACTGGGGTCAACTTCATTGAAGGCCTCTAATCTAAATATGTATCTGATGCGGCTGCCTTTTTGCCTTTCACAAATAAAATCGAAAATCTTTGCTATGTGGTAGTGGAGGTTTCGACTTGTTTGTTCGTCGGAACTAGGAAGTTTCTATAGCCTTGTAGCCTGCGGGGTTTATGTAACGCATCATATCATATATATGTAAAATAAATTAACTTCTTGTGCCTTCCCAAGTGCTTCTGTGTTTTCCTGAAATATTATTTGATGCACCTTGCTAAAATGCTGCCCATTGTTTGCACATGTTTCTACCAACATGCATCATGCATGCATATTTTATTTTGCTAGTACTTGTTTGGGGTATGCCGTATATGCATGGTGTGTATGGACATATATATGTCTGCAAGCACCATATTTATCTAGCACTAATTCACTTTTAGTTCCATTTTCACTTATCTGAAATCTAATTAAGTGCAGAAGGAAATTTTATTAATACATGTCTTCTTTATTTCTATTCATCTAAACAATTTATAATTTCAATATAATTTTTCTTTCACTTTTCTTGTCTCCATTTCATTTCTTTATTTATCTTTAATTGCATCCATGGAGTGGAAATGAGGTTAAAAATGCTAACTTTTTTTAGTCTTTTATAAAATTTAGTAGATTTTCAATCATAACTTAAAAAAAAAAAACCATAATTAACAATGATTTTAAAAAGATAAATTAAATACATTAATTTTGGGTTTAAGTATAATTTGTTATTAGTATAAGAAACAATTATATAACTTATTTATTTCACTTTCTTTTTCACTTATCTAAATAAAGAAAGAAAGAAAAAAAGTATTCTTTCCTTTTTATTTTAATCTATCCAAAGAATAATAATATTTTATTTTTAGTCATCATATTCCTTTTCTTATCATTTTTCTTCCTCATTTCGCTCCTCTGAATAAAGTGGTAAGAATGTTTTGGACCCAAGGAACATGGTTACCCCTCGGTATGACGGTATGGGTATCATAGTCATGTATTTTTTGTCTGAATGTTTGACGGAGTACGTGCTTGGTTTGGTGAAATATTTATTTATTTTATTTAATTGCACTGATTTTTTTTCCGGTTATTGTACACAGTAAATTAATTACAAAATACTATTTTTTTTCATTTCTAATTTTAAAAGTATATAGGACCAAATAAAACAATTTATTATTATTTTCTATTTTTTCCAGAAATTTTGAAAATGGAAAATAAAGTAAAATAATATAATACTTTTAAAATTAAAAAAAAATTATAAAATAAAACGAAAAATAATATTGTCTCAAATCAAAAGGCTCTTTAATTTTAGATCAAGTGAAAAGTGAAAAGAGTGTGTGTGTGTGTTTTGATTGTAAGATGTGCGGTTGTGTCATACATCCATTTCCTTGCCAAGCTTGGAGCAAGTGAGAACCATGATTGGTGGAGTAACATTAATGCTTCAACATTTTCAATTTTTCACCATGAGTTTTGTATCAGAATTTGATTATATGAGACATCCAAAAATATTAGGGTACCATAAAAGCGAGCGGGCCCATCATATTTGTGTCCATTTTTAGGACGGTGAGATTATTTTCACTGTTTTCTATATATACATCATTTTTTACCATTAAATGGAGATATTATTATGCCTGTTTAGATAAAAATTGAATTAAACTTACGTTATTTTTATTTTTAGGAGGTCATACAAGAATCATGATTTCTAAAATTTATAATTTTTAAGAATTATTATTTCTAAAAATAGTTAAAATATATTTGATTACTTATAAAAATTCATGTAAATATTTATATATAATTTACGTAAATAAATTTTTTTTATATTTGTTTATAATAGTATATTCTTAAGTTTATAAATATTTTTTATAAACATCTTTTATTAAAATAAAATAATTATATATATTTATTTAAAGTGA